TGATTGATTGATTGATTGATTGATTGATTGATTGATTGATTGATTGATTGATTGTTGAATGGTGTATCAAAAGAACCGATGAATCCACTCTGGTCACAGATTTATCGGTTCCTTTGATGCACCATGATCCGAGTGATCTTCGATCTCTGATCCTGATCCAGTTCACCCCAAAGGAACGCACCCTAAGACATCTTCAAGAAGTTTTGGCAAATTATTAAATTAGTCCTTGGGGCGTTATTATTTTTTATTGTAGTTTAGTTTTGATATTTTGGGGCGTTTTTAACAAAACAATTATTCCAGCTCTCACTACGCGCCTCGTTGGCTCTCTACCATCTTATACCCAACGCGCGTTCGTGGAATAATCGTTAATTACACTGTTGTATTTCAGAAGGGAATTTTTTTTATATTTCTATCTTAATTCTGAGCATTATTCTATCGATAAGGATTAGTTATAAACTACATCATTCAGCTCTCGGCTGTGTTATCCTAAGGCTTACTATCCAGTAATGTCTGTAAAAAAAAACAACAAAATGTTCATAAATAACAGTTATGAAACGCTATTTGTTGTCATTTCAAGTTTTTTAGTTCTTTTTTGAATAATAAACCTTTTTGTAGAAATATTGAGGTCGAGATTTTCAAGAATTTTAAGAACATTCTACTGCCAAGTTTTGAAACTCAAGAACGTTTTTTTGATAAAATTTGTTTTTTGTGGAAATTGAATAACTTCTGGCACCACACGCTATGGCGGTTTTAAATTGATTGTCACGTAGAGCTGTAGTCTAGTAGTCTAATTGGTAAGTAATTGGTTTGGTTTTGGTTTTGAGACATGCATTCAATTGTAAACCTCTCCAAATAAACCAAACCCAACATCAAAGTCGGGTATTCATACTGGCCAATCGGAAAGGACAGAGACAATCCAGTGAACCAATCAAAACTCAAAGCAAAAACGTGTAGCGTACGCAAAGCGCGGGAAAACGTGTGCCAGCGAGTCACGATTGGTTTTGGTTTTACTTCTGATTAGCTGACAAAGTGGCGCGGAGACTGAAGCGGGGACATGCTGCAGCCCCCACAGCCATGTCCTTTTTAGCGAAAAAGCTCTTTCAGGAAATTCAGATAGCTTGAATTCGTGCGTCATGCAGCAGGAACAAAATGACCTCAACTTTCAATGTCGCATCGTGTGCACTACTCTTTCAAACTGTCCCCACTACAACATAGAAATGAAACAATATCCGCTTAATTCATATGCACCAGCTTGCGCACTTTCCCTACAACGTGCGTCGTGTGCGCAGGCTTGTCCCTGCTTCACGACCCCACAACATGTCCCTTAGCCTGTGCTAACCACAAGCAGTGGTACCTGGCTACCTTGTACCCGCCTTATGGTATCAAAACTTGCCTCAACGAATATACACTAGCAACGTATCTGCAATGCCAACAGTTCCTGCGGGAAAAAAGGAGTAGTCATTAGAAAGCATCGTGGAAAAGGTTCAGATCTATTTTCCTCATTCCAAACATTCAAAGCAAGTTTGTGCATAGACCTTTCTAAAAGTCCTTTCCAATAATTTTTCCCTGGCCTGTTGGTTTCGCCGTCTTACGTCGCTCGCGTTCGCGAGTTTGTCGCTCGAAGATTGCCCGCCTGCTTCGCTCGAGGAGGATGAATAAGCGAAGGAGAAAGCAAAGGTCGACTTGCGACGAGTATAGTTTGTGCATTACGTAAGGTAAAATGAGTTTCTCTGTACCACAGGCTATAGCTACACACAAGGGAAATGGTTTTGAACAGCAAGGAGGAAATGAGAGTATTACAATACTGATATAACTGCCGCATGTTGCTAAGTGGAAAGGAAGTCTACCGCTGCTTGCTTCCCAGCTTTAATTTTCGGCTTTACATTTCTCTCGTCGATAATTTACGTTTCTTATTTATACCAACTAGATGTAGTAAAGCGCCATGACGTCTTAGAAGTACCAGTGTTTTTGCTGAACATGGGAGTCTGTGAAAGCCCGTGTCGAACATGAGGGTTTAAAATGCTTGCCAAATATTCTCACCATAATTATTCCAGTTGGTGTAGCTTGTGTGGTTACTATACATAACCGTTGTTTTAGGAAAGCGCAACTCGTAAGCACAACCGCCGAAAGACACCAGGAGCCATCCATAATCCAGTGGGCAGCCACCATGACTCTTGGTTATGTAGAAGGCTCTTCCGCAACATCCTTGTAGATCGAAGGTGAGCAGCGGTTCGGTGAACAGATTGGTCCAGGGTGAGTGAGTTAGACGATCTCTAGAAAACCAGTTCACGTTGTTGGAATTAGTGGTGTTGAACACCAGGGAAAGAACTTCAGGTTTGGACGCATTATTGCTGTACAGTGCCACTCGCGCCTGAAACAAGAGAGAGTGATATATGTTAACTAGATGGCTTGGCTTGGCTTTGTCTTAAGAATTGCTTGAGTAGTTTGTCTACTAAACTCCAGGCGTCGAGTTTGTCAGTAAAGAAAGATATATCTTTGCACCAGCCCACCACATTTAAAACAGCCGGATGAGTGACAAATTTCTAGATCGATTGCGCTCTGTTGTAATTGAGTGGACTAGGCAACGCTGCCGAGTTCTACTCCGATTTGAAATCCGGATTCGGGTCGTGGGTGTTAATTGAGCCCCGCAAACCCTGTCTAAGACTCTCTAAACGATGGGACTTTTTTACCTAATATTGCGTTTGCTACCCAAGACATTTAGTGTTTGACCTTCTCGTCAAAAATGAAAATATGTATCACTGCGTTTAGATCAACATGACATGGAACCATTTACACGCAAAAACATGAAAGGTATTCAATTGTTTTAACTGATAGTGGTGCTTCATTAGAAAAAGAATCATTTAACAGGTTTATTGAAATAGGAGGACTTATTAGCCGAGAATAGGTATGTTTATTTCAAGAAAAGCTGTAACATGTGGCATTTATCTGACGGAATTAACTGATGCGTTATTAGAAGAAGGACTTAATACCAAAATTAAGAAATCGAATCATTAAGATACAGTGCAGTTACATGTATTCCATCATGACTCTACCTCATTAGGTTTCGCGGTTTGCCAGTTTTGCACAAAGCGGTTCTTGTAATGTCCTTTGACTGAGGAGTTGACGTTCAGTGCTTCTGTTTTGTTCTCGTTCAAAGAATCTGCTGACGTCCACAGTTGATAAATGTCAGCGGGGATACCAGATACCACCTTGAACACCATAGTCCAACCTGGTGACATGAAGAATTATCACTGATTACGAACTTAAATTGATGGTGATACTTTGCTACAAAAAAATGTCAAATGCTTAAACGCTTGCTCTGTAGCAGCTCTCGTAAGGTCCACATGAATGGCTCAATACCCTTTAAGGGAACTATAGACCAAACAACAGAAACAAAAAGTCCCTAGCCCCAAAACAATAACAGTTGCTACAATAATAAAACAATAGGAACTTACGAGAGTTGCTGCATCTCTGACCGTAACGGGCGTTTCTGTTTATACAGAAGAAGAGTTTAACGTGCAAAAATCTAAGTGTATTGTAAGCTTGAGATAGGGGGTATTTCTTTCTTGTAATTAGCACAAACTGTGTCCACGCGTAGAGAGTTTGAATTGCAGCATAATCAGCTATTCGCAAGGATTTAACCACTATGATGAAAAAGCCGAAAATCTTTCGGAACCCATAAGGGTAATTGAAACATGTTTCGTATTCTCTCGTTTTCTTACCTTAACTAGTGAAGTATCCGAAAATTGCCACGCCAATTTAAAACTCAACCAAGAAACCTTTTTCAATGAGTAACTGAATGGAATATATGTAGTTTTACCGATTTAATTTCCACTGGATAATAGATGAGAGAAAATTTTCAGGCCTCAACTGGAAAAGGAATTCGAATTGAAGAAAAGGAATTAGATACACTCTTGCGTTACTTTTTGAGTAAATACGACCTAAAAGCTAAAAAAAATTACATGCTCCAATTAAACTCACTTCCATCAATGTTAAAGAAAAAAGGGAAAATTCTAAAATAAAAAACAGTATTAAAAATCACATTTTCCTCCATTATTACTATTTTATTATTATTATTATGATTATTATTAT